ATTATCTTTATTTGAAATTGCATCACATATCTTTTAATATAATCAAGTAAGAATTCAACTTAAACAGAAAGAACAGATAAATTTATATGACAGAGCAAGTAATTTTTGTTACACTTAACATGAAAACAGAGACCATTTACAATGGGTATCTGGTGAAAGATAAGGGAAATTAATATCATTAATTACATCAAAACTAGCTTGGAATATACAAAATTAGATCTATCCAAGCTATTTGTCTCATTAATTCCTATTAGAACTGCTAATTGCTTTGATACAGTAAAATCTGGTTTCACAGGAAAGCCTGGTTCCAGAAATGTAAGTTAGGAGTATATTAATTTTAAACCCTTACCACACCAAATATTAATAATGGACATGCCCATCTTTCAATCTGGACAAAAACCATTCATCATTTTAGTAGAAATTTTACTGACTGAAAGTGCAAAATGTGCATTAATCTGGTACTGCCAACGATACTTTGGTTTATGCACTGACAATGTCAATTTATCAAGTATTTTTTTGTCATTCAGTTGCACTGAAACTTCAAAAGTCAAGCAGTGGGGGATGAAGACATGGTTGACCTAATAATGTGCATTACTGCAATGTCAAATTAAGTGGACACCTGAATAAAAACCACAGTGTCCATCAACCTTCCAAAAGGACAAATCATGGTATTTTTAAGGTTAACGTATTAACCTTATTATTTTTAAATACTGTAGACTTATTTTTTTTTATCAATCAATATTAAAAACAGTTTTATATTCAAAACTTATTATCAACTGCCAAATCATTATACATTTAGTACAAATTTAAGTTTCAATATTGTTATAAATACTAACTTAAAGTGTTAGATTAATTCATATACATGTACATTAATATTTATATGTTGCTCATTTGTCAAGCTGTACCACAATATTACAAAATACAGGTAAAGGTTTTGAAATATCAATTAATTATTAAACTGCTCATCATTTTTAAGTTTAAAGGCACATTATGCCTCAGAAATCAATATTTTCTATTCTTTAGATAGGTCAACATGTGTTTAATGTTTGAATAATGGATTTGACAAAAGCAGCGCTAAATGTGAGTTATGTGTAATAAAGGTAGCAAAATGTAAACAAAGTAGTATTTTGACTTCCATACAAAATACTTATTCACTATAATTATACCGATTGCCAACAAAGCTATAGAACTTTGCAAAATATAGTCCATGTATATATGGCAAATGAGTAAAAACTCAGTGTGAAAACTGTACCAAGTATCCAAAAATGAAAAGGTTTTGGGAAATAGAATGGAAGCATTTCTGAGGCATAATGGGCCTTTCATACGGCATCTTATAAGGGCCTTTTTCCTTTTATTGCAGAGGCTGTTAAAGGGCCACTTTCATGTTACATCCATGTTTTTCTTCCATTTTTGCAAAAATAGTGTTATTTTATATGCCAAAATTTAACAGAAGGACCCCTTCCCCAAAGTGTATCAAAAAAGGCCCTTATTTCAAGCAGGCTTTAATAGATAGTTAATTTCCAAATGTATGATTTATTACCATTTGAGTGAATATTCACACATTTGTCAGGAATTATCTACATGTACATGTATATGCAGATTATACTTATCTATAGATACAATAACACTCAGCCTGCTGGCATCGCAGCAGTTGAATCAACCCATGCCAGCATGTTCAAGATCAGCTGGCCCAGCATGGTCTATACTTTTCGCAGTTCAGTCAGTAATTACTAAATATATTTTGAGACTTTCAATAAAACTGATGAATGGTTATGTCCAGATTGAAAGATTTACTAGTCCATTTAAGATGCATGTATTTAGCTTGGTAAGGAAAATACAAACCATACGGTAAGGCTTGAAGAATTGCTTGAAATCATTTTTAAATGTCAAAAGTGTACAGTGCCTCATTTGGTTCAACAGGCATTGACCAAATGTAATTCATACATTAAAACACAGGGTGTTCACTAGCTATGAAATCCTAAAGGATCATTTTGACTAAGTTTTACTGACTTCAAGGCCCAATCCCCATGATTTTAACAAAATTTGACCCTCCAGTTTAAATCCTGAGGGTCAAATCAGGCTTTTTGGAAATTTGAAGGGTCAAAGAGTCATTTCAAGGGTCAAACGGACACCCTGAAATTTAACATATTTACACATTTTTAGTTTTAATCTTTATGTATTAGATTTATTGCATTAATTCACACATTAAATATGATTTTGTTATTTTTCAGTTTTAATCTTAATGCATCAGATTTATTGCATATGATTTTGTTACAAAGATTGTCTAGACTTTAATGATTATCCTGGAGTAGCGTCTAACCAAACTGTCAAATATATGAAATACTTATATGAGCCGCGTCATGACAAAACCAACGTAATGCGTTTGCGACAGCATGGACCCAGACCAGCCTGCGCATCCACACAGTCTGATCAGGATCCATGCTGTTCGCTTTCAAACTCTATTACAAGTAGCGAAACTGATAGTGAACAGCATGGATCCTGATCAGACTGGGCAGCTGGATCCATGCTGGTCGCAAACGCACTATGTTGGTTTTGTCATGGCGCGACTCATATAGATTTAACTTTATTAGTTAGTTAATATATTTTGTATTTAACCTTTGAGTACTTCACTTTCATTTAATATTGACAATCGCTATGATAATTAGAAAAGAGACAAGTATTGAGTATTAATCATTAGTACACTAACTAATTAACAATATTGATGATCATGTGTCTCTGTCACTTGTTCGATTGGTGAACTTGTTACTCAAGATTTATCAATACTGTATCTTTACATGTATTCCCTAGAAAATAAGTTAATTATATAGGCTGTATATAGATAGATTTATCAGCTTCGTTAACAGCTAATATATATTCAATGAACTGTTCTTGAAATTTGTCTAATACAACATTTCTGAAAATATTTCAAAAGCATTCAAGATTGACAAACGCTTTCACCACTTAAAAATTTGAAACCATTTCAGTGCTGTTCTTGAACCAAGTTTTTGAATATGAATCCTGGAATAAATCTTAAACTGCTGTGAGTCAAAAAGATCTCAACTGCCAGGGTATTCATCTCTAGGTTAATTTAAGGACAGGATGCATGCACGGATCCGGAGGGGGCTTTGGCTCTGGACCATTGTCAAACTATTGTGACTTCCGTCTGGTAAAAATCCTGGATCTCATCAAAATCCTGGATCTGCGTCAGAGTTAAGGCTAGCTTGTTCTTTTTCAGTCTACTTTTTATACTTCTTATTGTACATTCATGAGTCTTGCAAGTCCAACTTTCTCCATCAGGTTTTTATAATGGCTAAGTTTGTTATTAGCTTTGAATTAAACAGCACTGCTCAGTCTGCTGGTGTTGATGACTAAAGCTGAAAGTACCCATGTGACCAGTGCAGACCATGATCAGTTCTAATATATATACATGTATAATGTCACTATTTTAGTCAGTATACTTATTGTGAAATTTTCCTCAATAAATTGGTTTTGTCAGTACAGTTATTTAAAAAAAGTAAAAGTCAATACTTATAAGTTTGACATACAACACTTTCAAGAGTGACTGGTTTTTGCTGAGTTTAGAAACACAAGTAACCATCAAGAAATTGAAAATAATCATGATTTATTATTAATACCCTTTTTTTTATCATACATTAATCATTTAAATTTATAATATCAAATTCAGTGATCAGTAGGACAGTTAATTGATTAATTAATTTATCATTATGAATAACTATTAAATATGTATGATAACCCATAGCCCCATCTCTGATAACTTGTTATTAAAATTTATCACACGATTCATGAGGCTTTGAATCCAGTTACAATGTACAAGAGAAGTATTTTAAATGTTCCATAAATAGGTCAACCTCCAGTTCTTTATGCCTTGTAAAGCATCCTTTATACATTAGACTTTCAAAATACACATGCATAATATTCATGAATATAGCTTGCTTTAAATTTCCAGTCCATGAACCACTAATTTTCTAATTTACATTTCTGCTAGCTAGTTCAGTTGTAATGTTCATTTGTTGACAGATAAATGTCATGAACAAACAATGGTTACCACCCTAAGGGACTATTGAATAACTTTATCATATGTTATTAATGATTAATTCAGTTGCATTTAACTATATAGAATATTAATTAACAGTTAATTAATTTAGATAGCACAGGCTATGATAATTGAATAATTGAATTAACCACTGATAAAGTAATCACTTTATCAAGGCAATATCTACTAATTTTTCAATTACTAAAAAGATATCTTAACTAAAGTAAATACAACTTAAACATGATAATGATTGTATCAAATGTATTCTTCAAGGTTTTCTTAACCAAATTGCCTCATATGCAACACAAGATAAATGTTATGAGATCTACTTGAGACTGTTTTATCACTGTTTTCATAATCAAAATAAGATATATATGATTAATATAATCACTGATATTCTAGATGCTTGTAAACATTGAGCAAAACCCTGCACATAGTTTACACAGCTATATACCTGTCTTATGTTCTCACTAAGGTAGAGTCAGTATGCGAAAGCTATACGTGTTGATGATAAACAGGTTAAAACATCAAAGCAAATGTTTTACTATATGCCCACAGGTATGGGCGCTTTCTTCAAATTTAATAAAAACAATGTAAATATAGGTCACATCGATGTAAAATTGACTGATATCGCCAGTGAATAAACGTCTTAAGGTCTTAAAAGCATAAAAATAGCGCGGGAAAGTTTACATTATCAATAAAGAATCGATTGGTGTCCGCTTTATTTGCATAAATACGGCTTACAAATTTCTTTAGATGCAACAGTGTGTGTTGAGAAGTAAAACTTAACGCTAAAGTCATGACCTATTTAAACATGTTAAACGATTACATTCTTTTATGACATTTATGTTTATTATAAACGTTAACATACTTTTCTTTTCGAATGCACTGTGTTACTGTATAAGGAAACTTAATATGAAAGTTATACACTATTCTAGCTACTTACCCAAAATAGAAAGTTGAAAGCGAACATTAAATAGCGAATACATGTGTAACAACTTCCAAGTGCCATTTTGAGATCTTTGATTTATTCCTTAATCCAAATTATGAAGCAAATAAACGCAGTTATTTCTCACACCAAAAACGAAAACGGTATAAAATTCCAAACACAACAAATTAACTACACTCGAGGTCGGCGTCAGCGTAAAAAGCGTACAATCAATAAAGAGCGCACCGGTGCGTATATAAATGTAAATGAGGCACCAGTGGGGGGCATTAATGGGAATATATATAAATACGCTTCCTGACACGGAGGCTATTTAGTTTAATCATATTTTATTGCTTTTACATTTAATACAAAATTTAATACGTAATTCTTAAAAAAAAGATTTTAGGGGTTATGCTCTTTTTAGTACTTTTCGTAGAATAGAGAGGGCTATTCTTCTCACTCAGTGCAAGTTGGTATTTCCAAAACTACATTTTTTTGTACCTTAGGGACTACTTTAAGGCCCATAACTCTAACATGGAGTTTGACTAAGTTATGGCCTTTTTTTGAACTAAGAAAACTTCTTTATTATCCAGGCTCTTGTTTTACTATCGAGCACTGAAAATAGTACATGTAATAAACATCTTTTTTTTTCAAAATATTAAGTTAATGAATAAGTATGTAGGGAGATAATTCATGAGATGCGGAGATCTAATTTGCAACCAGTAACTAGTATCGACTACTAGAGAAAAGTACATGTGATATAATTATAATTAACATGTATGTAACCTTTGAATTGCTTTAAAGGCACATTTAGAAGTCGACAATTTTTCAATTCTATTGAAATGCCAAGCATGTGTTTAATTATGTTTTAATGATGTATTTTGAGCATATTAGTTGTTTAACGCATGAAGAAAGTAGCACTGAATGTGCAGTAATGTGTCACAGATGTAGCAAAATGTAAACAAAATAGTATTTTGACTTCCATACAAAATACTTATTCACTGTAATTATACCATTACCAACAGAGCAAAAGAAGCAACATATACTTCAACTATGTGGCAAAATAGTAAAGTTTTGGAATCTTGGAAACTGTAACAAAATACCAAAAATATAAAAAGTTTCTGAATAATAAAAATGATTGCATTTCTGAGGCAAAAGGGGCCTTTAATGGGCCTTTCCAGATTACATTTGTGTAACTGTCCATCATCAATTAGATGAAGAATTGAAGTTGGTCAGCGATGAATACGTGTTTATCTAGTCATCAGTTTATAGCAGGGTTTTAAGTTATTTATTTGTTAACAAAGAGAAAATTTTATTTTGATTACTACATTAAAATATTAATATTTCTGCCCCCTCTCCTAAATGCCAACTATAGCAACACATGTCGTTACCTCAGCTTTGCTCTATCTTCATATTCATGATACGAATCTGTTAAAAATTAAAATAGCACACTTATACAATATAATTATTTAATGTCATTGAAGATATAGATAAATTTTTTTCCATTTTTTTTTATAAAAGTGTACGAGTAAAAGTTATCATGCACTGCTTTTGTTAGAGCGTCTGCAAATTCGCGAACTGATAAGCTGAACAGAATCCACTTAACAACAACAACAACAACAACAACAGTAACACTGAAAATCACCTTTTTTCGAGTGAGTAATGACTATAGTGATGAATGTAATATCAGCATAAAATTAACTAATATTTTATCAACTAATAACTGTGCCAAGTTTCATGGTGCACAATCCGTCCTAAATTATGCCTGGATTTCTTGGACTATAATACTTTATTTTCGGTCTCTTTTTAATTTAATCTTAAATGTAATGACTATAATTTTATTATAATCAAGTGCATATTCTTGTTGTTTTTTTTGCTGTATATATGTATATATATAGTGTTAGTTTGGAAGTGTTTCTCTTTTAAATACCTTCGAAAAAGGGATATAACCCATCAGGAAAATATAAATAAATCGAGAAAGATTATGCCACTTTAATGTTATGTAACTCTCATGTTATTTAGAACGGGGAATGTTCAAGGTAGCATTTAACAGAAACGCATGAAATGATATACTGACATTTGTGCTTGCATTGACATCTAACATCACCAAGAAAAAATGGTTGTTTGAGTTGTTACTAACAATTTCAATGAATTTTTTTTTCAAATTTCGAAAATCGCCTTGCTTTAAAGTGGAATGCACCTTTTTAATAAGGATTTCAAAAAAAAAAAAATGATAAAAACAATAGAAATGTGTCATTTGGATATTCTTATAAAATTTTTATTGATAAAAATATTGTTATAAGTGATTAAAATGAACATTTATATGATGACTGGAACAAATTATTATATGCTGTATAAAGTTAACAATAACATCCATATGTAATTCTTTTGTAATTTGTCATTATAAACCCAATATTTTTCAAAAATACTATTAACATTAAATGTTTCCTTTGGGGATAAATTATGATTACATATTTTTATTTTGTTTGTTTCGTTATATACATACTTAAAATACAGAACTAATGATTTCGTTTTGTGTTTGTGTGTGGTGGGGGTATGCTGAGTCGTTCAGTTGGGCGGTCGGTTCGTCCGTCCGCTCTATATATTAATTCAGTACACTGAGACATTTTTTTCAAACATGATTCAAATGTTCACATTAACAAAACGATGTGCAGAACACATGCCCCGCTGTTTCAATCTAGGTCAAGGTCATATTTGAAGGTCAAAGGTCAAATATCAGACACTTTGTGTCCGCTCTACGAATCAAATTCCCATTTTCTTCAGACTTAGCTTAAATGTTCACCTTTACAGACGATGTGCAGAACCCATGCTACGGCTGTGCCTGTTCCAGTTGAAAGTCACCATCGGAGGTCATAGGTCAAACATCAGACAGTTTCGTGTCCGCTCTATTAATCATGTGCTTATTGAAGGATTTTTCTTGGCTTAAATTTTTACCTCAACAAGTGATTGTGCACGATCCATGCGGCCGCTGAGTAGACCCAATGTCCAGGGTGCCATTGAATGTCAAATGTATGACTATTTTGTGTCGCTTTATAAATTCTATACCACTTGAAAGTATTTAAAATTTTTTTTTTACCTTATTAAAGCAGTGCGTAATGACCTTGTTGCCACTGTGCAAGCTCAATTTCAAAGCCACTCTTGAAGGTCAAAAATCTAAGCATTTTGTGTCTTCAACATAAATTCTATATTTTCAAATGATTTTTTTCCAAACGTAATTCAATATTTCTTTTTATAAAAAATCCGGTGTGGGTATTCGTCACTCCTGTGGCAGCTCTAGTTTTCCATGCTGATAAATGAATGTTAGGACGTTTTTACCTTGACTGTGCAAATTTTGATTATTTATTTGCTCACTTGACATTACTATTAATATTCAAAACAACTTTTCAGTAAAGATATTGTCCAGTGTTATTAACCTGTCAATTGCACATTAATAATAACTATGTATATAGAATAGTATTTTTCAATTTGCGTAACCACTAATTGTTCTTCCTTTGTGCGACGTAACTACAGGTTATGTAGTTACGTCGCACATCCTCGAAGCACGGAATGGCCAAGCAATGTGAAAACAAAACTCAAAACAGCGTTCATTCTGAAGTAGAATATTTTTATCGTGGAAATAAATTGAAATCTATGAAATTCTTTCTGAATGTGTCTAATTTGAATAAAAGAATGTAAAAACTGTGTTTTGGAGGCTGCATTTCCAATATTACAATTGAAGTAAAGTTGGTTTTTTCTTAAAGAAAACTGTCTGTTTTTTATGACAATATATATTCATACCGTGTCCACCTAAAGTGTGTAGAGATTTAAACATAACCTATCTTCTTTGTGTGTAGTCACACCATGTTTAGTATATATTTACAAAGAGACTGTGTAGCAATTATCAATATTCTAATATATCAAATTTGAGCATTGTCGCGACCTGATATTCTTGTCTATCACACTTCAGATTTTACAGAAATAGCCGACCGAACGGTTATAGCGATCATAACATGCAACAACACGAATAATACACGGAAATAACCGAGAGACATCATGACTCAGTCGCTCTAAGACCATCACTATTGATCTAATCTGAGAATAAAACAACTAGAATAATATTCTGAGGATTTCTTGTTGCGATTGCGAGTTGACTTTCTTAAGCTCATTAATCAGTTATATTAATATCGATTCAACACGCGAGAGCAATTGTGGAGTTTTACTCGGCACGACAATTCTTTGATGATAATATACGATTGATAGTACTGGTCAAACTTTTAACAGATTTATTGCAAAACTAGAGGTTATTGTTGGACAATATTGACCCGAGACATTTTAATATTCAGTGACCCTTTGTAGGTAATAGTTGTCTGAAGGTGAAGTGACATTATGCCCATCAAAGGGTATATGGTGTGTGGACATATAAAAGTCAAAATAAGTTTGCATTTTACCATAATTCCTTTCAATTTTATAAATTTCTTCGCATGAATGATAAATAATTCACATGTCGCAATAAAAAGTATGTACATGTAAATATGCATCAGAATTAAAACTGTAAATTTCAATTTTGAAAAATAGTGAAAAAGTCTATTTTATATTTTAGGCAGATTAATATTTTCTGCTTAACATTTTCCAATTTACAATTGTTGATCAATCATCATTATTATAGTCAATCTTTGGAAATATTAGTCAATTTTAACATTAATTGATAACAAAATAGCTTCTCAATCATAATACATGTAGTTTAATACCGTCCTGTGCCATAATTTAAATCATACAAAGCCGGTTATCTACTTAATACTGATATATTTTTATTTCTGAGAAAAACGTAGGGCAAATATTTTGCATCTTTTGAAAATGTATTGGAATACATAGTATCTTAAGAAATAAACTTTGCAATCGATTGTACACAGTAATAGCATTGTTTGGAATAATATATTTGAACTGTTCTTAGTTTTTTATTCCTTCTTCACATAAAATCCCGCCCTTGATTGATGTGTGTGGGCCTTAGCATACTGTACAACATTTGTCATTTAATAAATACAAGTACATGTACGATACTCAATTCGTTGGGAAAAATGTACTAAATACATTATATTTTATAAATCATAGTAATGTAAGTAATGTATGTTCGATTAAAACTGTGGACTCATGTCTGTTTGTTTAAAAGTAGATATTGGCCGTTTTGATTGGTCGAAATTCATCACCATCATCGACTGTAGAACTGCTAGTGGTAACTTAGGAAACGCCTTGCTTGCAGTTGTGATACAGGAACCATTCGAAATA